GGGTGCCCCCCCGGCGCCCGCGGAGCCAAGGGGACCGGCTTCCACCCAAGGGCAGTGTGGAGTCCTTGGGTACTACGTGACTTCACAGAGGACTTCAGGACCGGAGGAGTGTTCGTGGTGAGATGTTTGTTTTTAAAGTCGATGAAAGCTTTACGTATGGTTGTACTTTTAGAAGGTGGGCCGGGCCAGGTGTGGCTCAGATGCCGGAAGCCCGGGCACCTGATGGCCACAGTGGTGGCCCTGGGTGGTGGCCCTGGGTGGTGGGCTGTGGTGGTGGGAGGGCGTATTCTTTTCTCCTTTTCTTCCTTCTTTTCCTCCTTCCTGTTTTTCTCTTGCCTTTTTTGTACTTTCTCATTTTTGTACAATAAATTTTCTTTGCTAATGCCAGTAAATGTTTTTTTCTTTTTCCTCCCCTCCTATTCTCTTCTCATTTCTCTCCTCTTGTTTACTGATTGTACAAGGGACCTTTCCTTGTCTGACTTGGAGTCCAGAGGTCACCCACATCCAAAGACCAACCACTTACTGACCACGTCCCAAGCCCAGCCCACATGTTAATCAAACTGGAATAAAAGAAAAACACCATTTGCCCACCAACCTGTTCATACTCACCACGAAAACATGTGTGCACATGCACTTGTGCATATAAATATTGCTTTAAATAAATAAATATCATTTCCCCCCTAAATGATTGAAGCAGGGCAAATCTGAAATCTGAAATCTTCTCCAAGCGAGACCTGCAGCACCCCAGACCTCTCAGCTGGTGATGCTATGGCAAGGTCCCCTAAAGGACTACGTGGGCACAGCAGCTGCAGGGAACCGTCTGACCTGATCCGATCAAAGGGCAGAGCAGCCCCGAATCCAGAGGCTCCGAGGAGGGAGGGAGGGAGGGGAAGCCGGGGCCAGTCTGGAGCTACAGCAGGATGCTCAGGAGCAATGAGCTCAGCAGGAGAGAGAGCGGCTCTGCAGCTCGGAAACGCCTCAGCCTCACTCGGGGCCACGCTGGCTGCAGGTAACAGTGGTCTTGCCTGGTGAGCCGGGTCGGTGAGCCAGCTCGGCCCTGACTAAGAGGGGCAGGGCCTGCACGGGAGGCTGGTTCCTGACTGCACAGGCAGGGCCTAGAGGGCTGACCAGAGCCCTTCAGGACTGAGGGGCCACTCGCTCGCACTCAGCCCCAGTGCTGGACCCAGGGGACTTGGCCACTCCTCCCTGAGCCTCCTGCCTAGGGCTGGTTCCTGACATGCACCTCGGCAGGCCTGAGCTTGGCTGCTTCTCAGCCTCTAGTGGGTAGAAGGGGTCGGGACAGGGACATGAGCCAGCTCCCTTGCTCCAGTCACTGGCCCCCAGCCCTGGATGCTGATGGCCTGTCCTGTCCCCTGCCTGCTCTCCCACCCTCAGTGTCACACAGGTACCTGGGCGGGCCCTCAGGGCTATGGGCTCGCTGGGCTCCGAGGCATCGCTCATGCCGTGCTGGTTGATGGCTCGCACCCTGAAGACGTAAGACTTCCCCTTCTCCAGGTCCAGGAGGGCGAATCTCGGGGACTTCACGGGGGTGTCGGAGGGGATAGCCTCCCAGGTGCCACTGCCTATGACCGACTGGAGGGAGGGAGAGCTGGCCCGTCAGGTGGTTGCCTGGGCTGCTAGTGCCAGGCATGCCCCCTGGCCCTCACCGCCTTCGATACCCAGCCCCGCTGTCCTGGGCACTGGGCGCTGTGCCGCTGCCTCACCTGGACGCTCACCAAGCCTCACCTGTCCAGAGCTCGGTCCGGGGCTGCCCCGTCACCGCCCAGCGTAGGCCACCCACACCCCCCAGTTGCTGGGACCAAAGTCCTCTGGCCACCCTTGCCTTCATCCCACTTCCCCTAATGCTCCAAATAGGGGTCTTCAAAAATTCACGGGAAGTGTTTACTGTTAAAAATAAAAAATGTGGATTTCCAATTGATTTTGCTCCAAAATTAACTCATACTTTGATTTCATTTTTCGGTGAATTTCTGAGGTCCTCTTGCATGTTCCATTCTTAAGTCCATGTGGCCCTTCCTTCAAAATGTACCCAGGATCCACACATGACCCACCCGCATGCAGGCCTCTGTCCCCACCATGACCTCCACCCAGGACAGCACATCTGTGTCCTGCGGGGCCCGAGCAGCTCCCTTTGGCCCTTCTCTGCCTTTACGGCGGCTCGGGGACCCTCTCACAAGCCCGATCTGGTCCTCCAGTTCTCTGCTCCGAACCCTGCTCATCTGCACCTTCCTCAGAGCACGAGCCTCCCCACGATCCGCCTGCGTGTCTGGGCACGCCCACCCCCCAGCTTGTCCATGCGCCACTGCTCTGAGCCCTTGGCTCCCAACGGCCCCCGCCCACCTCTGGGCCTTTGCACCTGCTGGTCCCTCTGACTGGACTGGAATATTCTCCTAGAACTCTTATGGCTACTCCTCATTTCCTTTAGGCATTTGCAGGTGGCATGGTGGTTAAGGTGCTGGATGCCCACATGGCCGACCACCGTTCAAGTCCCAGACCTGGCGGCTTGCTTTCTCACTTTCTCTTTCTCTCCCTCTGGTGAGTACATGTGCCCTATAGCAAATTTTAAAAAACAATAAATAAATCTTAAAAGAAAAGACTCCTGTGGGGGCTTCCCCAGCCACGGTCAGCAGCCCCTGCCAAGCACTTCAGAGCCCCCCACCCCCTTCTCCTTAGCTCCAGCTCTGGCTGCTGTGCTTAGTAGTTTCCTCATTTCTCAGTGGCACTCCCCCCGCCCGCGTTACTGTGTCCCACTGGGATGTGGGAGAGGCCCAGGTTAAGCTTCGAGGACAAGCACTCGTACAAATGGGTGAGCTCTCACGATAATCCTGCAGGGAAGGCGTTCATTTCCCTAGGACGAGCAAACTCAGGTTCAGAGAGTTGGGGCAGCATAGTCCACAGTGTAGTCCACAGTGGTGCACGTAATAGCTGTGGGCGCGGCACTGAGGCCTGGGGG